GTGAAAGACTAAATATAATGTGTTTGATGACTATCTATTTACAAATCTAGTCGTTAAACTAAGAGGTTCTGCTTTCTGTATTGTTGCTAATACATACATTTTAAAAAGTTTGCCTGTTACTTGTTTGAATTCCATTTTATATGTTGTGTGGTAATGTAAATTCCTTATCTTTCTGGATGGTTATCTCTAAAGAAGACAGAAGAAGTTAGGACCTGCTGTTTTGGCATTTCCCCCCTTTCCCTCACTCCCCACTGTTTTGGAGGACTGTGTTTCTAACTGTATCTCATTTCTGAGACATTGACCAGAAAGTAGCCCTTACCTCCCAGGTCTCCAAGGAGGTAAATCCATTTCCATCTGTTTATTTTTCTTTTGGGCTACTGTGTTGAAATAAGCTAAGCCTTATGTTCTGCTTTTATTTTACTCTCTTCTAGGTCTGGATGCATGACTTTGGACACGAAAATACTTTCTACAGGAAACTGCCAGACACTTGTTCAATGAGACCCTACAAACTATTTGATGCAGCTTCAAGAAGCTAGAGGAGGGGCGGGGTCCCTCCACTCTCTGTCTGGGAAGGGAAGGAGAAAGTAAGGAGTTGGTTATAGCACAGAAAGTCACCTGTCGTGGGAGACGTGGTAAAGGTTCTCACTGTCTGTGGAAGGGATGTTCACATCTTCATGCATCAGGGACACAGGAAAAATGAATGAATGACAGCGTTTGCCATTTATTTTTCCATCTGGCCAGAAGGTGATAAATGACTTAAGGCATATTATTTTGCAAAGAAAAAAAAAATTAAGCTCATGTCAGTGGAAAAGGAAGGAAAACCAGTGGCTAGAGCTGTACCATTGATTTGGAAGGTCGGGAACAGGGGGGAGTTTTTAATACAGTATTTAATACAGAGTGATCTCTCTCTCAATCTCGAATTTTTCCACCATTTCTACCCTCCCTCCTTTCTTTCTTTCCTCCTTTCCTTCCTTTGTTCCATCTTACAAACAGTTATGGATGCCAGCTATGTTCCAGATTCTGAGCTAGGTTTCACAGAACACCACACATCAGCAACCTCCTCCCCCTATTGGTTTACTATGAGCTTTAGGTAGTCATTATAGTGCCTTAGAATTATCATTTTAAAGTTAACTAAGACTTATATTTCCAAGTAACTTAGAAGTGGGTGCTACTTTGTAATTTACAACTCCAAGGCTGGACAACATGCTGATGACCCTCTGCCAGAGGCAATTCATACATATTGCAGGGCCAGTTCCTGGAAAATTGAATGTGTAAAATCATCCAAGAACTTATGGCTTTGCCAGTGTTTGCATATCAGCCCTATAGAAGAGATTGGACCCTGTGATCTGCAAGTGAATGGAATTGGAAATTTTGATCGCTATATCTATGTCTTTGTAAGAAATAAGTCTGTTTCTGTACCAAACCATGGAGGACTGGGACCTATAGGGAGCAAAGATTTACTGGGATATGGGAGAAGAGCTGGAAAATCAGTGGGGGATGAACCACTTATTACGTTCAAGAGGAGGCCTCCAGTCCCTCAAAGGTGGACACTCAACAAATACTTGTCCAGTTGAATGAGAGGCTACAGGCTCCATGTTGATGGAAGAAAATGTCATAGAATTGGATTGGGATCTGTACTATTCATCCAGATTCTTACCTGGAGTGATTGGCCCCCAGAAACATTTGAAAATCTCACAATATTTTGTTACAATTATGGAGGTTTTACTGTCTAGTGGGTAGAGGCCAGAGATGCTGCTAAATATCCCATGTTTATAATAAACAGGACAGCCCACATCACAAATAATTATCCAGCTCCAAATATCAATAGTGCTGAGGTTGAGAAACTCTACAATCTAGCATAGAGTGTAGTTCTCTGAGATTCTAGCCCTGACCATGGTTAATAACCTAAACAAATTATTGGCTGCAAAGAGGAAGATCAAAGGGATATGGAAGATTTCATGCAAATGTATCCCAAGGGAGAGACACAAATCAGGGATGTTGTTATTTTCAGCTATATTAGTCTTTTTCTGTTGCTTATAACAAAGCACACAGAGCTGGAAGATTTCATGCAAATGTATCCCAAGGGAGAGACGCAAATCAGGGACGTTGTTATTTTCAGCTATATTAGTCTTTTTCTGTTGCTTATAACAAAGCACACAGAGCTGGATAATTTGTAAGAAAAAAAAAATTTATTGCTTACAGTTTTAGAGGCTAGGAAGTCCAAAGTCCAGGGAACACATCTGGTGAGGGTCTTCTTTGGTGGTGGCTTTACAGCAATGCAGGGTTCTCATGTGGCAGAAATGGCAAAAGGAGACTAACTTCTCATGTGCTCTCCTTTTAAAATCTCTCAGAACCACGCCCCTGAACACCATTGTTAATCTATTCACTAGGGCATGGTCCTGCAATCTAATCACTTCTTCAAGGCCCCACCATTCAATTACCATAATAGGATTTCCCACCCTCAACAGTTACAGTGGAAATTAAGCTTCTAATATATGAACTTTGGAGGACACACTTCTATCAATCCACAGCATCAGCCAAGAGGGGACAAACCATTTACTCCTCCAGTTTCCTTTAGTGTTTATTTGATGTGACTTTGTATTCAGTGTGTTGCTTGGTGACCTGACTTTTACTGCTATTATTACTGCATACCTTTGATGTTCAGTTTTCTTTAGTGTCCAGTTCTTCACTGAAATCATATAAAGCACTTAAGTCACCTGTGTCAGAGTCATCCACAGGTACTTGCTACAAATACAAGTGGCCCTACTATTGAATGAGAATTTCAATGGCTCATGGCCCAGGAATCTGCATGTTAATCACAGGTGATTTTTTTTTTTTTTTACTTCTTATTTTTTAACCCTTGGCTTGGTGTCGTCTGCACCACGCTCAGCCAGTGAGCACACCGGCCATCCCTATATAGGATCCGAACCCGTGGCTGGCCCCAGTCACAGGTGATTTTGAAGCACATTAAAGGTTGACATGGGATATATAAAGTAACAGAAATACAGTATTGTCTGTTCTCACTTTTAAAGCCTACTTATAAAGTGCTTGAAAAAATATATTCACTTAATCCTCAGTATGTCCTTTCTTTTAAGCTAAATTTTATTTTTAAATGGACTGATAACATTGTATGTTTTTAATCATATCACATGATGTTTTGAAATTTTATACATTGTGGAATGGTTTATCTAGCTAATTAACAAATACATTATCTCACTCAGAAGCTGGGGAGGTTTGGGGGAGGGAGATGGGGCGCACTTGGTCAGAAGACACAGTTAGATTATAATTACAGTTAGATAGGAGGAATGAATTTCAAGAGACCTATTGTACAGCAAGGCATCTATAGTTAATGAGGATAGATTGTATCCTTGAAAAATGTAAAGAAAGTGGATGTTACGTGCATCAACATAAAGGTCATAACTCAGAGGATCCTTTTGATGTATTGTGTTGATTCCTATTTTATATATTATAAAACAGGAGGCCACAAGAGCTTAAACAGATCACTTAGGGAAACCCAAGTGACTAGTTTAACCATGAGACCTTGCCTCATGCCCCCAGGCAAATGTTGTGCCACTTTCTCTGCTTTTACTGTCTCACCTCTTCACTGCTGTTCATTGAAACAGACCATGAATGTTGAGCTGTCACTTACTCTAAGCTTGACATGGACTTCATTTTAACCATCTTGGTACCTGTAGCACTGAGCAGGGTAATATGCCCACCTCCAGGCACCACCCTGGTCCGAGACACTGTTCTCTTTGATGCTAGCAACAGCTGCTTAACTCCTCTCCGGCCCTGCCTCAGCACCTACAATCCATATGCACACTCAGCAATGATCCATATTGTTTTTTCTTTCTTTTTTTTCTTTTGGAGATAAACACACACACACTTTTATCTCCCCTCCCATCTAAGTTAGATTCTCCTTTTATCTTTCTAATTTAGGAGACTATGCTTCTCCATTATATAGGAGGGTACTTCAAAAAGTTAGTGGAAAGATTTCCACGAACTTTAAAAAGTACCTTCATTTTGGATCATTTTGGTTCTATTACCGTTGAGTTATCCAATGAAGGTCTTTCCCACTGGCCTGTGAGAATATGTTTTGTTTTGTTCATTCCTGCAAACAGTTGGGATCAACGGATCAAATGTCTTGAGGAACAGGCACACTGAAAACCAGACGCACATGCGTGGTGATGGCCAGCACCTTTGTCATGGCTGATTGCTGTAGGTTTGGGTATCTGGAGTCAGGACGCAGTCTTGAAGAGCTGGCGGCATGGTCACTTGGAGAAGAGACAGAGATCAGGGAGAAGAGCGAGGCCACCGCCGGCCATGGGTTTTCCCGCGCCACAGACAGTGACAGGCTCATTGTTCTAGACGTCCAGGCTGCCCTAGATTTGCCAGTTACCGCGATGACCCTTTGGGTAGGTGGGTTATCTGGAGCGCATCTGAGCCTCTGTTCCCCCATCTTCATCAAGGTGTGACAAATTCCCACCTCTGAAGGATAGGGCCTGAGGCAAATGAGATAAAGCCAGGGATAGCTCCTGGCACTTAGGAGGTGCTGAGGACGCTAAGCAGCTCGGCTCTCTGGCCAGCACGCTCGTGAATGAGGGACCTGAAGGGGCAGCGAGAGCAGTCGCGCCGCGTACCTGAGCCTCCCCCTTCCCGCTCATCTCCCCGTGCGCTTAAATCACGTTTTCCAAGCCTGGCCCCGGGCGCTCCCCTCCCTCTCCCGGCGGTCGCTCCCTCCCTCCCCTCACTCCCACCCGGCCTCCCCGCCCCCTTCGCCCCCACCCTCGGAGCCCGAGCCCGGAATCCCACGCCCT